TTTTTATAAATGCATTTATTTTGAATTGTAAAATTTATTTTTGCATTATTTGGTAATATTGTGTAATTATTAAATAAAATAAATCTGTTTTCTTTATTTTTTATTGTTTTTTTTTTTTGAAGATATTTACGGATCGAAAACGGTCTGGATATAGTTTGAGAATGGCGCTGGTTGGAAGAGAAACTTTTAAAAGTTACAAATAAGTCCACCATATTCAGACCGAAAACGGTATGGACATAGTTTGAGAATGGTACCGGTTGGAGATGGAATTTTTAAAAGTTACAAGCAAGTCCACCATATTCAGACCGAAAACGGTCTGGATATAGTTTGAGAATGGCGCCGGTTGGAGATGGAACTTTCAAAAGTTACAACCAAGTTTAATATATTCAGACTGAAACCGGCCTGTATATAGTTTGAGAATGCAGCTGGTTGGGATAGAAACTTTTAAAAGTTACAAGCAAGTCCACAATATTTAGACCGAAAATGATCTGGATATAATTTGAGAATAAGACCGGTTGGAGATGGAACTTTTAAAAGTTATAACCAAATCCAATATATTCCGACCGAAAACGGTCTGGATATAGTTGCAAGTTTTAAAAGTTGCTGCTGGGTTCTCCAAATTCGAACCGATCCCGGTCCGAATATATTTGCTAGGCCTCTTTCCGCCACATTTTCAGACCGTTTTCGGTTCGTACATATTTTATTATTTTATTATATTATTTTTTTAGGACCAATTTCGGTCCGCTTATTTCAATTTTTAAATAACCATTTATATTTCTTACTGAAATATCTGGATCGATATTTCAGTCTGAATATCCGATTCCTGCAGTAATGAACAACAAAAGGTCTGTAATGGTATCTGAATGGGAAAGGGGTCTAATTTTAATCAATATGATTTATTTCATCTCCCATTAACGGAGCTATAAAGGTAAAAAGTACCTGTTCCATCGTTAGCCATATTTACACCAACAACATTCAACACTGAGGATAACATCGGATGGCTTCAGAACATGAGATTCTGGAGCTATTAGCTAATATGAACAGTTAAGCACCCGTCTAATCTGATTTCATTCCCACTACCATGTGTAAATGAGGATTTTCCTTCTTTGGCTACTCAATTCCAACGATTAGGAACCTTGGAACCGTGTAAGTGGCCAAAGAGGACAAGACAGTAATAAGAAATGAGCAAACTTGAATATTCATGAAGCTACACACACAAATTCTAAAACAAACCAAGTAGAAAGAGCACTAGACCTAAAAATACCTGTATATTTCCCATTCTTCTCATAATCCTGAATGAAGCATGCTATTATTAGTCTTGGGATGACATAACCAGTATTCTCCACATCTTCATGTTTCAAAGATTGAAATGCAAGACCAACACATCTACCATTATCATTGAAGGCAGGCCATCCAGAGTTCGCAGAGTTCACAGCTGCAACAATCTGAAAAAGCACCAACTAGAAACCCAAAAACAAAATAGTTAATTGAAAGAAAACCAAACCCAGAAACCAACTTATAAAGAAAAAGTACAAAACCCTTATGAAAATTCAATAAAAACCTTAGAAATAATTAAGCAAAAGAAGATAAAAGAGTGAAATGGAATAATCAAGTCAAAATACTTACTAGTAGTTGAAGTGAAAGAGCACAGCAATGGTTCTTGAGGATGTAATTTTCAGCAATGATTCTTGAGGACACTGAACTGGACGAGGAAAGGATTTTACTGGCATGTGTTGTTGGGAACTTGGGATCACAAGTGACAATTTCTGAAAAGTTAGACAGCCACTGGACTGGAACTGTAACTCCCTTTGATGTTCACTTCAAACTGCAGAAATGATAGATATTGTTTCGTTTTTCAGCAACTAAAATAAATAAATCAGGGATTGCAATTTGCAAATGAAAGAAAAGAAAATGGAAGAAAATTATAAACGGCTGCTGGACT